CCACCTTAGGTGTATGTGGCTGGTGCCGAGCCCAGTTGTCATTTTTGTTTAGCAGGCCCAGGCCAGGCTTGAACCTGTCACATTCTATATATGTGGCTGGCGCCTTACTCACTGAGCTATGGGTGCTGAACCCAATGTACTATTTTTTAAAACAAAGAACTAGTTAATAGAAAATATACACATGTACTCAACAAAAAAAATAAAATCAAAATGTTAGTACTGGTTCTCTAAGAAGCTTTCAGGAATGAAAGAATTGGATAACCAAGGAAAAGATTCCATTTGAAGAGTGATTTAATTAGATTTTATGAAGGACTATTACATAATTATTTAATTTGGTTCTCAAAAGTAATTGACAACATGGCTGGGCACAGTGGCTAACGCTTGTAATCCCAGCACTTTCAGAGGCCAAAGCATGAGGATCACTTGAGGCCAAAAGTTCAAGACCAGCCTACACAATAGAGCAAGATCATGTCTCTACAAAAAAATTAAAAAATTAGTCAGGTGTGGCTCAGCGCCCGTAGCACAAGCAGCTAAGGTGCCAGCAATATACATCAGAGCTGGTAGGTTTGAATCCACCCCACACCTGCCAAACAACAATGACAACTATAACCAAAATATAGCTGGGCTTTGTGGCAGGCGCCTGTAGTTATATCTACACAGGAGGCTGAGGCAAGAGCATCAGCCCAGGAGTTTTGAGGATGAGGTGAGGTTTGATGATGCCACTGTACTCGAGATGGGGAACAGAATAAAACCCTGTCTCAAAAACAAAACAAAACAAAAAAACAAAGACAGTGAATAATCCCTTAAGTAATTAATCTTTCTTTCTATTTTTTTTTTTTTTTTTTTGAGATAGTCTCAAGCTATTGCCCTGGATAGAGTGCTATGATGTCATAGCTCACAACAACCTCAAACTCTTGGGCTCAAATTATCCTCTTACCTCAGTTTTTTTCTACTTTCTTATACATACAGGTCTCACTTTTTGCTCAGGCTGGTCTTGAACTGGTGAGCTCAAGCTATCCACTTGCCTCAGACTCCCAGAGTGCTAGGATTACAGGCATGAGCCACCACACCTCAGCCTCATCTTTTTTTTGAGACAGAGTTTCACTTTGCTGCCCTTGGTAGAGTGCTGTGGAGTGACAGCTCACAGCAACCTCTAACTCCTGGGCTTAGGCAATTCTCTTGCCCTAGTCTCCTGAGTAGTTGGGACTACAGGTGCCTGCCACAATGCCTAGTTATTTTTTGTTGCAGTTTGGCCAGGGTCCAAGTTCAAACCCATCACCCTTATATATGGGGCCAGTGCCCTACCCACTGAGCCCACTGCCCTCATCTTTCTTTTTGAAATCCATTTTTAAATTGTTGGCAGCAAATTTTTCCTGATTATATTTCATTTATTTATTTCATTTTTTTTGAGACAGAGTCTTACTTTGTTGCCCTCAGCAGAGTACCAGGGCATCACAGTTCATAGGAACCTCTAACTCTTGGGCTTAAGCGATTCTCTTGCCTCAGCCTACTGGGCGCCTGCCACGGTGCCCACATATTTTTTCTGCTGTTGTTACAATTGTCGTTGCTGTTTCGCAGTCCCGGGCTGGGTTTGAACCTGCCTGCATTGGTGTATGTGGCCGTCACCCTACCCACTGAGCTACAGGTGCTGCCCCTGACTGTATTTTAGTTATACTGATGAGTATTTATTATATGCTATCTTGGGAAGTATATATTTCACACCCATGAATAGCAGACTTGGAAAGAGGGGAATGAATTGTGAGATTATTCTTTGGATACAGTGAAAAAAGTAGACTTAAGAATATAAAGTTAGAGCTCAGCACCTGTGGTTCAAGAGGCTAAGGCACCAATCACATACACCAGAGCTGGTGGGTTTGAATCCAGCCCGGCCCTGCCAAATAACAATGACTGGCTACAACCAAAAAATAGCCGGGTATTGTGGCAGGCGTCTGTAGTCCCAGCTACTTGGGAGGCAGGGGCAGGAGAATCGCCTGAGCCAAGGAGTTGGAGGTTGCTGTGAGCTGTGATGTCACGGCAACAGCTTGAGACTCTGTCTTCAAAAAAAAAAAAAAAGAATGTAAGTTAGGAGGCTGAGCAATGTAGGTTTTAACACTGAGCAAGCTGGGCCAGACACTTACTATCAAATTCTATTGCCTTACCTATAAAATGTAGATATTATTATGTGTTCTCCCTGTTATCTCAAGAGGAGTACAGTGGCATCATCACAGCTCAAGGCACCCTCTAACTCCTGGGCTCAAGCAATTTTCCTGGCTTAGCCTCCCAAGTAGCTGAGGTTATAGGTGAACACCACTATGCCCAGGTAATTTGTAAATTTTTTGTAGAGATAGGTTCTCACTTTTGCTTAGGATGGCTTTGAACTCCTGGCCAAAAATAATCCTCCCACTTCTGCCTCACAGAATACTAGGATTACAGGCATGAGCCCCCAAGCCCAGCTCATTGTTTAGTTTTTACCATTTCATTGCTCCACTTGATAGTATAAACAATCAGGAATTTGCTGTTTGAAGGTTTTACAAAAGATCACCTACCTCCCAGACTAGTACACATTTGTTGGTTTTCTTCACAGCTTCCTCATCAGATTCCTCATCATCTGGAAGAGACAATATAGCTAAATCTTGCTCTAGATTTAGATGAGAGACCACAGATTTGACTTCTTAACATTATTCAAGTCTACTCAAATTCTCTGAAATACTGGCACCCTTTCCCATGTGTTGGAGTCAAATCTTTTTATTTTCAGTTACTCTCTATTTTGAACAAATTAGACTGGAAGCTAATAGTAGGTATTAGGTAATAGTAGGAAGTATACAGGTATATTAATTAATCCAAGCATTTACTAAGCACCTACTATGTGTTAAAGGCTGTGTCACATACTGGGAATAAGGATACAAAACACAAGCAGTCAATAACAAAAACTTGTGGCTCAGTGCCTGTGGCTCAAGTGGCTAAGGCGCCAGCCACATACACCTAAGGTGGCAGGTTCAAATCCAGCCCACGCCTGCCAAACAACAATGA